GGGGTGTGTATCTTAAATACATGTACAAATATGCAATTGTGCAAGCCCCTATAGACAGCTCTTCTGTAACCAGCAGTCATGCAACAGATATGCTGAGAAAGGATCTGGGGTCAGTGGCGTCAATTTCTTCTGCATTTCCTGGCTGTAGTTGCCATAAGAGTTGCTGGCACAAATCCTCAGCATTTATCTACTCTTCCTCCTCGATATTTCCAGCAGGTACCAAAAGTTTTCATTAATTCAAATACATTTTTTTTAAATTGAAATATTATTTCTAATAAGCTAAGTCAGTTCACAAGGAAAACCAACCTATAGAGCATTTTAAACAAATGGATTTCTAGACTGAGCTTAAAAGGAGCTTTAGAGTAGATTCATATAACATCTTTACTTAACATTGATGAAAAGCACAAAGAGATGAGACTGATTAAACTGGCACAGTTATCATCTAGCAAAACTCCCAGATGGCTACAGCAGCTCCTGACAGCTCTCCACGCTGATCAGCTCATGTTGCATGTTGGACGGACAATATACGGCAGAGAAGAGCTAAGGCGACACTGGAAACACTACCCCATTTTAATTTCATTAGATCACAGACCTACAATGATAAATACTAATTGCAAAATATGGAATGAAACCCCAGTGGTAAATTTTACCACCCTAAATCCCTAATTAATTAGCTTTGTTACATTAGGCAAGTTACTTAACTAAAGTCTATTTCCTCATGATTTAAAAGAAGGTGCTAATAATATCTGCCTTAAAACCTTGTTATGAACAATATGTCTTCTGGCTTTGTGGTATTCTTGTCAAAATCCATAACCCAGTCTAATCATGAGAAAACATCAGACAAACCCAAATTGGGAGACATTCTACAAAATAATTGACCAATTTTCTTGAAAAGTGCCAAGGTCAAGAAAGACTACAAAAGCGCCATAGATTGAAGGAGACATGACAACTAAACGCAGTATGGGATCATGGATTTGATCTTGGACCAGGAAGAGGCTAATGGAAAACCTGGTGAAATTTGAAATAGGCCAGTAACTAGTACTGTACCAAGTTAATTTCTTAGCTTTGACCACTGGATTGTGATTATGTAATAGGAACCTTGGTGGAGAGGAAACAGGAATACTCTGCACAAATTTTGCAACTTTGTAAATCTAAAATTATTTTAAAATAAAAACATTTTAAAGAGCAATTTTGAAAAAAGCCTTGTTGTAAGAAATAAATACAAGATCAAAAATGTAATACATTGCCTGTTTTCTTGCAGGCATAATTCCTTCATCTAATGGCTATACTTAGAGGCCATCGACAGTAGGAAGAGTATATTAATATTGGCCAAACCCAGGTTGGGATAGTTAATAATGAAGTGTGTTGTTCAAGTGCGATAAAATGGGGCCATTCTATTTCAACTGAATAATTATAAGTATTCTCGCAAAACTCTACTAAACATCAATATTTCAGTCTTCGCACAATAAAATCCTAAGTTTTTTAAAAAGTATGGAGTTTGCGTTTGACTCATGATGACAGGCTTTTATTTACCTAATGCCATCAGTATTTAAACCTAACATGTCAGACCTTCATTCAGACTCTGGGACTGCTCCCATCTTGTCAGACTTCAACAGTTTTCTGTCAGGCAACACCTGGCAAAATAAACCGCTTTCATATAAATCGTAGGCATCTCAAAATGACTATTGCTTGATACGCTGTTATTTCTGTTTTCCCCCAATTTTTTATTTTAAACTTGAGTCTACATGTAGCCTTGAGGGGAAAATGCCTGCCTCTGAGATAATTAAAGGTCCCCAATGCCAAGTTTATTACCTAAGATTTTGCTTTTGTTAAGAAAACATTAAAAGAACCTAGGAATCACAATGCTCTCGCAATCACAGTTTCCAACAAAGGAGCTATGGCTCCTCCACCTTTTGCTCCTCACCTCAGAAAGTAACTGGGCAGCCAAAACTAGTAACGAGCAACTTGGCTATTTCTTAGTTTTAGATGGAATCATCCGTATGATAAATATACATTTCTTTCTATTATACTAGTCTCTTGCAAAATAATTTTTGTTTTCTACAAAGGTTATGAGATATCATAAAAATGTCTAATGCATCTGGTTTAAGAATCCAATTCTTCCTTCACATATTTCTGCATCTGTTCACAAAATCTCTTTGACTTCAAAGGAAGCTTTTCAAGGGGAAAAGAAGATACACACAGGAAAAGTGGCCATAAATTTTTAGTAGTCCCTCTCTAAGGCCATTTTAATAACAGCACTGTGGGACAAGTCTCTCTCTGAGACCGAAAATATCACAGATGATATTAATGACTATGCACTTATATGGAGATTTACGCTTTAAAATTGTATTCTGGGTCTCAACGTGATATAGCTTCGATTTAGAACATGTGAAAAATATGGAACGCTTAAAGAAAGCTTAAATCACTTTTAACTCCGCTATTCATGAAAACCTAGCAAACGAAAAAAGAATGGTTGTTTCCTTCTATTTTTTTCTGTGCCTATATTTATATAAACATTTATTTACAAACAATTATTTACAAACATAAAACTGTAGCTATACTATTAATGCAACTTTGTATCTTTTTCAGTTGGTCTTTCAAAAGACTGTCTGGGTCCTTCAAGCCATCATTTTTAATGACTTGAAAATCATATGTAGATTTATACTTTAAAACGATACTCTCACATTTAATTCTTATTCTAATCAAAGGTAAATCAAAGGTTTGGAAACACTAATCTGTTCTGGAAGTGCTACATCTTGAAACAATCTAGATTAACAGTTGATTAAGATAATCGTATTGGTAAATGCCACCGAAACAATAGTAGATGTTTAAGAAACTTTTTCTTTAGCATTTATAATGACTTGATCCCCTTAACCTCCCTGGGCAATCATTAAGGGGCTCCAGTTTCTTTTTATTTTCTATCTGATTCTCTGTTTCTCATGACATCCTTAGCTCTTGTTTGGAATGAGAGGAAGCTGGGGTCTAAGGCTGGGTGACTTTGATAGGGTAGCTTTAACATGCTACTATTATAAACACAGTAACCGACCACTTCTTGTCCTGCAGAATCAGGCCCTTGAGTTTCAAAGAGGGGAGTATTTGATTGGATTTATCTAATTTTGAACCAATTCTTCCCTCACATTGCTGCCTGAAATTTAAAAGAACATTTACGTAGCTGTTCTGTTGATGAAGAGCTTTCCGGTTTAACATTCTTCATCCTTATAAGAATCTTCTTAGGCTCATATCAATGAAGAAAACTTAAGTACAGAAAGTGAAGAGATTTATGGGGAGATGAGAAAAATCTTGGTTTCCATAATTAATTTCACTGCTGTACTTTGGCTTCATCATCACGACGCCAGAGGCCTTCCAGCGCTTGAGAGAACACGAGTGTGTCCAGCCCTTCCTCCGTCCGCGCTGAGGGGACAGAGGGGCTGTCACCTGACACAGCTAGCGGCCCGCTGACAAACCCCGCTGACAAACCCCGCGACCTCTGCTCCCCGAACTTCCAGCCTAGCGCTCTTTCCGACACACTGCTTACCATGCAAAATCCTCACACGCACGCAACACCGCAGGAATGTGCACGGACGCCAGGCAGTCACCCAACAGTCAGACTCCGAGCTTCCTTCCTGCTTCCCGTAAGAGCGCTCCCAAGACACGTCGGGCACGTGCCGACGCCGAGATTAGACGCGGAAGGCGTTTAGCGAGTGTCGGAATGAATGAAACACACACTCACTCACACACACGTACACACACACTCACACACACACACACACACACTCACACACATTTTCTTTTGCTTTTGCCATGAGGGCGAAATTCCAAATACTGACGGACAGGCTGAAGGCCTCGTCATGCCCTCGCGCCACAGAGCAATGACTGGTCACAGCAGAGCCGCCAGGCGCAGGGCAGCGACGCACCTGGGCAGGGCTACTCCGGGGCAGAGAGGAGGAACCACATTGGACAATGCACTGACACTTGCTCAGGGAGGAAGAGAGCGGCGGCGCCAATTTAAACCTCCCAGTTCCGAACGAGACGTCGTCTCTCATTTCTCCGCCGGCCCGCGCGCTCGCGGTCAGGGAAAGGGCGGGGATCAGATCGCAATGGGACCCAGAGAGGGCGGGCCGTGCCAGGGGGCAGGCTGCGGTGCGCTCCTCCCACTGCGGGGCGCGTGCGTCATCACGCAGGCTTGCAACGTCATCGCGCTCCAGGTGGAAGGGCAGTCTTAGGCGAGTCGACTTAAGAAGCGAGAGGAGCGGGTGCTCTTAAGAGGAAACGGGAAGAGAGAAGCGAGTGGGGGGAGGGAGGAGAGACGAGAAGGAACTAGCGGGATGGGGAAGAAAAGCAGCGGCAGAAGGGCCAGCTTGGGTTACCTGGGGAGCGGGAGCCGCTTCGGGTCCTTTGTGAAGTGCCCGGATGAAGCCCCAGCACCCACGGGTCTTCCGCATTGAGTGCAGCGCCATCTTGAGGAGGGCGGAGCCTTCTTGTCTTGAGTGACGTCGGCTCGGAGAGCCAGGCCCCGATTCGCTGCGCTTTTGCTTGCTGCGCCTGCGCGCCGGCCGCTGTGCCCGGGGCTGGGCGAGTCCGGCCATTGCCGAGCAGGTGGGGCAGGGATGGGGTGGCGCTTCGCTTCAGTGCCTCCCCACAGGCTCCTTCGCGGGTAGTAGTAGCTGGGTTTTAGGCCGGAAGAGAATCCAGAAGGTTGCTTTTCGCATCCTAGCCGTCCGGAGGCAGCTTTAAAGACGTTTCTGTAGGAATGGGGCCTTCGCAGTCCTATTAGAGACAGTAAGTGCGCCCCTGAGACCCGTATGGCCTCAGGCCATGCCATCTGCGGACCCTGGGCTCGGAAGGTGCAGGAGACTCGGGTCTTTCCTTCAAGGAGTGTACGGCCCGCTGGGGGGGTGGACAGGTAAATGGTGCAGCGTCTTAGCTGTGGCAGAAGCACATCCCAGGGTGGGGGAGGAGGGTGGCTAGGGCTGTACTTCTTCCCGTCCAGGCACGACCTTCAGAGGAAGGCAACACCCGATAGGAGAACCTTTCTGTTTTGAGTTAAGTTATAACAAGAGTTAACACAGTGCTCCTGCTTCAGCGAATGCACCCAAAAAAGCTCCCAGACATGAAGATAAATAGATACCAGTAAAAATGCAGCGAAGGGATTTTGTCAGAATTCCTCGATGTGGTGGTGTGTTTATCCATTGAACAAATACTGAAAAGTACCACATTTCCATAGGGAGGAGTAGGAGATAAGTGGAATAAGGATGCCCCATAGTTTTAAAGGAACTGGAATCTTCACAGGTTTAAATCAGAGTTTATAAATTAAAACCAGGCATTAAAACCTCATAGGAGTGGTACAAAGTACTGGTGAAGTTCAAGCGTAATTGGTGTAATCTAAGCAGGGAGGGAATTGTAGGGATGACGGCCCCCCCCCCAAAAAAAAAGGCATCTGAGGAAATCGAGTCTCATTCTTCAACAAAACTGGTCAGTTTGGTTTTGTCTCTGTCAAATTCGAGGTGTCTATAGTACTCCCAAATGCGACACCCGTTAGATAGGCAGGTCTGGATCTCAGGAGAGGTCTGCACTGGGAGACGGAGGGTAACTGAGACCAAGGAAGGCTCGGAGACTGCCAGCGTTTGTGGAGTAAAAGGCGATGATTGGATGATGGAAATTCAAAAGAGTAACCAAAAGATACTTTAAAAAAAACCCAACATGTAGTAAACCTGAAACCCAGGAAAGAGGTTTTGCCAGTGGAAGTGACAATTGATCTTTTTTATAACAATATACAGTATCCCTTGTAAATAACAGTTTTATAAAATGCCTAAATGTTTTGTACTCATATACACAGCAAAGCATTAAAATAAGAGTATTTTTTTTTTACAGATGTTATTAATTAGATTCAATGACCTTAGGAATTAGTAAGATTAGATTTATGACATCCTACGCCATCTGGATTGTAAAATAAAGCCTAAAAGTAAGATGAGGGTTACAGCGGATAGCTGTCAAAGAGCCTGTCTACTTTATTTCCTCAAGCAGTACTTTTAGTCTTTTATCTGCTAAGACTCACGTGACTGACAATATTTTCGTGGGAGACATACTCCCATTGAAGAAATAATCAGAACACAAGTGTAATCATTTCAATATCTGTATTTTTAAAGTCAATTATTTTCAAACTCAGAAGTAATAAATTGTGTTTCCCACCACAGTGGTGACCTGATGACTCTTGAGTGTCACTCAGCCAGCAAGCTTGCCCCTTGGACAAGGACCATATTTTTATTTCTTACATTTCCCCAAGCATGTAGTATAGTGCCTTACATAGAGTAGGCATACCTTTTAAATCTAACTTTTATTTTGACAAAGTACACAATTTTCAGAGGTTGATAATACACTTTTGAACTTTTTCCATAGTGAATGATTCACATTTCTAAAGTTTGTATAATGCAGAGTTAGTTTGGTCACACGGGAAGTTCACTTATGGAATATTTCATTGTCCAAGAGTGTTGTTAAAATGAAGCACCACTGTATTTATTGCAATATTTTACCATTGCTATCATTTGGTAAGCCAAAGAATTTTAGTCAAATGAGATACAAATGTATTGAAAGCAGACTTTACAATTAAAAACTTATAGCCATCCACTTATGTACTGTTTGGCTACATAATGTGTTCATGCTTACAATTTTGAACACTTGTTTAAAATTTGATTTCTCATCAACACTTTTATTTTATAGTAAGTCCTGGTAATTTTGCTCTTTTCTGCACATTCCCTGCAAATCCTGTCTTGCTTGAAACAATAGATTAAAACCAGACTGGCAGTTGGGGAACGCTTTCTATTGCAACCATGTGTGTCAGAAGAAAGGATTAGGTTTCCTTGTCCAAGAACATCAAGGGGAACCTCCACCTCTGCAGACACACCTCTGTTCCTCAGTAATGGGGAGTTTATATCTAGTTAGATTTAAATGGGATAAGGAAAGAGTTTAAATCCACTCTTAGCTCCAATAGTATAACCAGCCTCAAGTCTCAAAGTATCCAATTTTGTTTCTCTAATTTAATTCTAAGTGTCAGGTTGGTATTAGATGCTGATCAAGGTAATGGAGAGTAACCCTACACATTTATTCAGTTAAAGAAGAATTTTGCAGAATGCAAGGACTAGATGGCATCTGTGTTCAAAACTTACTTAGAGCACAGTCCGTTCACCTTTGACCTTTAATTTATATTGAATATGTTTTTAAAAGAGCGGAATAAATTCCACAATGAAAGCAAACCCTTCTTTTCATAATTCTGGGTACAGCTGTCATTCCCTGGCCATGTGCTATCTTATGCTTGATTCATTATAAGGACTGAAAGTGAGGCAGAGTCTGCCCGTGAGTGAGATGGCTTCCAAGAGTCATTAAACCATGTGGAAGCCATGAGCATGATTTGGAGATTGTTCTTTTTTACATCTGTCTTAATTCTAATTCTACCCCTCATTTCATATCTGATAAAACTGGTCCAGAGATATCAAGTACCTTGACAAAAATCACATCGGGAATAAGAGCAGGACTAGGAAGAACTGTAATTTCCAGACCAGCTCCCTGCTTTCAGTGGCAGCTCTGTAAAGCTGAAGTAGCTACGCTAGGGCTGGTCCAAGAGAAAGGCATCACCTGCACGCACATCCTGTGTCACTCTTCGTCAGCAGAGCAACCAAATGGCTAACTTTTAAAGGGTTGATGCTCACATCTCTCCACCCTGCAACACTGAAAGATGCTGTTTCCCTGGTTGGTGTTGAGGAAATGAAAATAATAGCCTCCTCTTTGTGTGAGGATGGTCATAGGAGGCTTATTTGGTCTTGGGAAAGCTACTTGGGGTTTTAAGGGAGGCGTTAACAGTACTATCACTTTTTTTCCTGGAAGATGTCAGGTAGCAAAATTAAGGGAGAGACTTGGTGGTGTGGATAGCAAACTAGGAATTTTCTCAGAATACCCTTTCCTTAAAGTTACGGGCCAAGGCCATAGCTTTTTCCAGATTTCGTGTCTAACCTTCGGGACTCTCCTGCTCTGCAACAATGACATTTTGACTGGGTTTGGGAGAAGGTGGGTGGGTGGGGAGAGTCAGAGCAGACCTGGGCAAATAATTTGCCTGTGTTGATCTTCAGAGAACTGACTCAGTTACTTCTAGAGTTCGTAGGGTACAGAACCACGAGGGGGATGGATCGTATGGGATGTTGCAGGTCCTGGAATTCCTGCTCACAGCTAATGTTTTCTCTCAATTATCTTTGTCAGACTGCCATTTCAGCGTAACAGGTCTTCACCAGTGACAGAGAATTGCTTCCTTAAGTGTGGGTCTAGAATGGAGAGAATAATTTTGGAGAAATGTAAAAGACTATTTCAGTCTTAGGACATATTTTTTATGGAGGAAATGGACCTTAGTAATTAGCAAGTTAAAGTTCAGAAAGCATTTTACTTTGCTATCTCTGCATGCCATTGGTTTTCCAGGTGATGTGACCCTAAAGACAAGACCTATTTGTTATCTTTACACTCACTCTACATTTAAATCACCAGCCTCTGTTCTAGCTACTTCACAACTGGGATGGACAGGCTTCCCACTTCTGAGTTTATGTTTTACAAAAAGAAACAGCAAGGTGTCCAAAAAGCTTCCTGGAGTGTCTTTTAGACAGGCTCTTTTCTCCTTTGTGTAATGAAGCTACATTAGGTCCCTTCCCACACCCTGTCTGCCTGGTGTAATGCTAGGATCCTAGCCATGACCTACTGCTTAGATCCTGATCTTTCTAAAAAAAACAGAAGACAGACATGGTGATCTCTCTAAAAACAGTGAGGTGTTAACCTCACTGTCTCAGTCAAATCACGTCTCACCAGTTAAATTTCCTTGTACTAAACCCACTGACAGTTGTCATCAGCTATGTTTTTCTTTTCTTTTTGTCTTTAATAAGTAGAAATGAGCATGAACTCAGAGAAAATTTGTTTGCTAGACCAGTGATTTTCAACCAGTATGTTGCAAGAGGCACACTGGTGTACCACAAGGATTTTTAAAGCATGTGCAATACCTGACTATTTCTTTAGATTGTCAAATTAAAAATTAAAAAAAGACAACAGTAGCCATCCATTGTGAATGAATCAAAATTATACCTTTTTTGTCAAATTGGCAAAAAATATATTTTTTGGTGTGCTGCAGAGTTTTAGTAATTAGTTTATGTGTGCCATGAACGGAAAAGGTTGAAAGTTGCTGTGCTAGACCCAGTACTGATCTCAGCGAACCAGTTAGCCTTCATTACTTTTCCCCCGTTTCTGTGAAATGAGTGAAAAATAAGAGGGCTAGATGTCATACATTGCAGCTCTTGTTCTAGGAACTAGTTTCTGTTGGGTTCCAAATTAGATTCATGTAGAGAGACGAAGACAGATACTACAGTCAGGGCCCAGGTGTCAGAGCCTGTCTCCTGACCCCTCGTGCCCGGCGGGGGTGGGGGGTGTGACC